CTCCAAATAACCGAGTCTTCCTCCAAATAACCGACTTCCTCTCCAAATAACCGACTCTTCCTCCAAATAACCGACTCTTTCTCCAAATAACCGACTCTTTCTCCAAATAACCGACTTCCTCTCCAAATAACCGACTCTTTCTCCAAATAACCGACTCTTTCTCCAAATAACCGACTTCCTCTCCAAATAACCGACTCTTCCTCCAAATAACCGACTTTCTCTCCAAATAACCGACTTTCTCTCCAAATAACCGACTTTCTCTCCAACGTCAAAATGTAACATATTAGTCGTGTTAATTTAGGAAAATGTTACATATATTCTGTATTTACGATGGTGTTATGAAATACAGGGAACAAGGTGGTGGTGGTTGTTGTTGTTTATGTAATTTGGATTTCAGGAGGACTGTAAACCTATCGACACAACCAGTGAACGTGATGGGAATTTCAGTGATGGTGAACGTAACTTAACTGTAATGCCTTGTATAGTTAATGATGGGTGAACGTAAGGTGGTTATGTAACTGATGAACGTAAGGTGGTTCTGTAACTAACTGGTGGTGAACGTAACGAGTCTTATATTAATGATGGTGAACGTAAGGTGATGCTGTAACTGGAGAACGTAAGGTGATGCTGTAACTGGTGAACGTAAGGTGGTTATGTAACTGGTGAACGTAAGGTGGTTATGTAACTGATGAACGTAAGGTGGTTCTGTAACTAACTGGTGGTGAACGTAACGAGTCTTATATTAATGATGGTGAACGTAAGGTGATGCTGTAACTGGTGAACGTAAGGTGATGCTGTAACTGGTGAACGTAAGGTGGTTATGTAACTGGTGAACGTAAGGTGGTTCTGTAACTAACTGGTGGTGAACGTAACGAGTCTTACATTAATGATGGTGAACGTAAAGCGATTCTGCAACTGGTGAACGTAAGGTGGTTATGTAACTGGTGAACGTAAGGTGATGCTGTAACTGGTGAACGTAAGGTGGTTATGTAACTGGTGAACGTAAGGTGGTTCTGTAACTAACTGGTGGTGAACGTAACGAGTCTTACATTAATGATGGTGAACGTAAAGCGATTCTGCAACTGGTGAACGTAAGGTGATGCTGTAACTGGTGAACGTAAGGTGATGCTGTAACTGGTGAACGTAAGGTGGTTATGTAACTGGTGAACGTAAGGTGGTTCTGTAACTAACTGGTGGTGAACGTAACGAGTCTTACATTAATGATGGTGAACGTAAAGCGATTCTGCAACTGGTGAACGTAAGGTGATGCTGTAACTGGTGAACGTAAGGTGGTTCTGTAACTAACTGGTGGTGAACGTAACGAGTCTTATATTAATGATGGTGAACGTAAGGTGATGCTGTAACTGGTGAACGTAAGGTGATGCTGTAACTGGTGAACGTAAGGTGGTTCTGTAACTGGTGAACGTAAGGTGGTTCTGTAACTAACTGGTGGTGAACGTAACGAGTCTTATATTAATGATGGTGAACGTAAAGCGATTCTGTAACTGGTGAACGTAAGACGGGTAGATAGACAGAAAGACAGACAGACAGACAGACAGATAGATAGATTAATAGACATTAATACAGTATACAGAAAAAAATTACAGAAATTCTTAAAACAAATTAATTTCGTTGGTTTTAAAATTTACTGTTAAAAACATGTAAAATAAAAATCGCTAAAATCTTTGTTAAAATAAGAACCTCATTTTAACCTGTGAATATTATAATTTAACACCTGTCTAACATTAAATTTATATGAAATTAACTAAACTTTCACAAAATATCAAAAATATCGTCTGAGAATTCACAAAAGCCTTTTTTTTACCAATATATTTCAATAATTCATAAATTCAACTTATGGTATTCACTAATTTTTTTTATATATTTTTGTGTTCTGAAATACAAAAAATAGCTTTATATTTTTCAGGGGGTCAAAAATAGCCGTGAAAGTTTGGCTATTTGATTTCAATTTTATGTTGCTGAACGATCTTGAACATAAGCTGAATAATGAACGTATATTCAGTTGAACTTTTAAACGTAAGTCGGTAAAAATGGTGAACGTAACTTGAACGTAACTTGAACTTTGGTTAGGTTAGTTTTGGTTAGGTTAGGTTAGTTAATAGTAGTGAAATACAACAATCTCACTTAGTTGCTGGGCCGGTAAACGTAACTTCTTGTCCTGAGTTCGCTAGGAAAGCAATCCCAGCAGGTCTTAACTAGGAAAATAAAATCCTAGGACACCTCAGCTAGGAAAAATCTTCTAGAACAGATCTCAACTAGGAAAACGCACCTAGGAGACCTCAGCTAGGAAAACGCTCCTAGGATAGACCTCAGCTAGGAAAACGCGCCTAGGAGACCTCAGCTAGGAAAACGCCCCTAGGAGACCTCAGCTAGGAAAACGCCCCTAGGAGACCTCAGCTAGGAAAACGCTCCTCGGACAGACCTCAGCTAGGAAAAATCTTCTAGAACATCTCAAGCTAGGAAAATAATCCTAGGAGAGAGCTCAACTGGGCACACCCTTACCTAGCGTGAACAGAAGAGCAAACAACGGAAGCGTCAACAGGAACTTAAACAACAGAAGCGTCAACAGGAACTTAAACAACAGAAGCGTCAACAGGAACTTAAACAACAGAAGCATCAACAGGAACTTAAACAACAGAAGCGTCAACAAGAACTTAAACAACAGAAACGTCAACAGGAACTTAAACAACAGAAGCGTCAACAGGAACTTAAACAACAGAAGCATCAACAGGAACTTAAACAACAGAAGCGTCAACAGGAACTTAAACAACAGAAGCGTTAACAGGAACTTAAACAACAGAAGCGTCAACAGGAACTTAAACAACAGAAGCGTCAACAGGAACTTAAACAACAGAAGCGTTAACAGGAACTTAAACAACAGAAGCGTCAACAGGAACTTAAACAACAGAAGCATCAACAGGAACTTAAACAACAGAAGCATCAACAGGAACTTAAACAACAGAAGGTCAACAGAATAAACAACAGGAACTTAAACAACAGAAGCGTCAACAGGAACTTAAACAACAGAAGCGTCAACAGGAACTTAAACAACAGAAGCGTCAACAGGAACTTAAACAACAGAAGCGTCAACAGGAACTTAAACAACAGAAGCATCAACAGGAACTTAAACAACAGAAGCGTCAACAGGAACTTAAACAACAGAAGCATCAACAGGAACTTAAACAACAGAAGCGTCAACAGGAGACCCACCTTGACAGGGGATGAAGGTAACACCCGCTTACTTGTCCCCACCATCACCACTACCCACACCATCTCATTACATTAAATCACCTCAAACTACCCAATTAAATTACCCAAATCTGTAAAAAAAAAACTTAATCTGTTGATGTACGGAGAAGGAAATCCGGTTAAGACTTGGGTTTGTTGATTTTAACCGGATTTAACTTCAAGTACGCACTCTACAGGTAGGATGGTGGGAGGGGGTGGGAGGGAGGTCCGTCTCAGTGTGCCTCACCTTCCCGCTCAAACACTGAATTCTCTCTCAAACACTGAATTCTCTCTAAGTTGTTTTAAGTTATTAAGACAATGTATTAACTTACCTTATTCTTGAGTGTATGATGGGTGTTTCTCCCACGTGTGATGGTTGTGGTGTCGTTAACTCCGCGAGGGATTGTTTGAAGTTTTTATCAACACACGAGATAAGGTTTGGTTGGCTCTACCAAGACCACTTGTTTCTTATAACAAACAACTTGAGTACCACACCTGGGAGGGATGATTCTTGCCACAAATAATGACTAACAACACCTGTCACAACTACTCACACACCTGAGCCTCGACACTTTTTTAAGCCTTGTGATCTAACATTTCTTTAGATCTTAACATACCGTCGACATCAGTACAGAGCGAGAATAGAAGGGAGAAAGAGCAGCGCGCGGAGGTCAGCCTCACCACACTGCCAGCCACTGCTCGACTGAAGAGGGCGCACCAAGCGCGGCGCATTCAACTCCCGGCGCAGAAGGATACCAGTTACCATTTTACTGCTACTCACTAGCGAGGAAAAAAAAAACCTCAAATTTTGTTTCCAGAATATATTTTTTCACTACTAACGAGTATATTTCACCTCACGCTGCTGATCAAAACGTTGAATATTCCACGCGCTAATGATAGCTACACCATTGATGTCACCCACTCAGGAGCGGCACAACAGCTGTCTATGGACGTTGTGGCGTGTACATCAACACAACTACGTAAAAAGATGATGTTCACTATAGTAGTCCTCATGCCAATCTTATTCTCCGCCATAATGAGGCGGCGAGAACAAAAGAAGAGGAAAATATATAACAGTTATTGAGGATAATTTATCGTAGCGTTGGACCACGCCTACCCTGACCACTAGGGCGGCGGGAGGGTGGGGGGACGGGTGGTAGTGGGGGCAAGGTGGTAGTTGGGGGCAAGGAGAGGTAGTGGTGGTGTGGCTGGTGGAAGTAATAATTGCGTGTAGATGCAGTAGTGTGAGGGAAGGATGGTGTTAGCAGTGGATTGTTGTGGTGATGGTAGTAATACTAGAACCTGTGGTGGAGTATATAGTGATGCTAGTAGGAATGGTGGTAGCTGTTTGTATACATTGTGTAGTGTTGATTGCTTACCAGTGGCTAAAATAGTGGTGTATGAAAGACACACACACACACACACACAACCACACACACACACACACACACCACACACACCCACACCCCCACACACACACCCCCCCCACACACACACACCCCACACCCACACACACACACACACCCCCCGCCCACACACATCCCCACACACACCCCCACACCCACACACACACCCACTCACACACACACACACACACACTCACACACACACACACCAAACCCCCACACACCTCAACACCCCCACACACACCCCACACACCCCCACACACACACACACTCCACACACCCCCCACACACACACCCAAACATCATCACTACCAACAGTCAATTCGAACACCAATTCCGACAGCGATGACTGATGACCCTCCAAGTCATTTTATTTACTGCACTAAGAACCTGGCGACGAGTGGAGACGTGAGATATCTCTTTGAGGTAAAAGGAGAGATGTATTATTTAAGGAGAGTGGGGAGGGGAGGGAGGGGGGAGGGAGGAGGGGAGTGGGAGGGAGGGGAGTGGGAGGGGAGGGAGGGGGAGGGATGGAGAAGAGTGGGAGGGAGTGATAATTTGAACTCTGAGTGAAGCATTTAATGACGAGACTTGAATTATTATTGTGGTTCGAATTTTCTGTTTCAGTGGTGAGGTGGAGGGGAGGGGGGTAGGGAGGAGTGATGGAAGGGTGGCAGAGGAAGCGGTATGGGAGGTAAATGGGAAGGGAGAGGGGGGGTGGTGGTTAGGTTAGATGAGCGTTAGACTTAGGTTAGGTTAGTAAGAAGCAATATTTATTCCCGTCCATGGTGGTGAAGGTCTCTCCCACCACCACTAGGTCTCTGTCTCCCTCCTGTTTATGATATATTTATGTGATGGAACTACTGGGAGACGAGACGAGATGGGAGGAGAAGGGGTGAGGGGAGGGTGAGGGAGGGAGGAGAGGGATTGGAAGGAAAGATAGCTAAAGAGATGTGTGGTAGAGGGAGGGGAGGAACAGAGGTAGGGAGAGATAGAACTAATGGAGGGAAGGAAAGGAACTAGGAGGGAGAGAGAGGGGGGAGCGAGGCAGGAATGGAGAGAGGAAGCGAGGGAGAGAGGGAGGATGACGGGGCAGGTGTGTGTGTGTGTGTGTGTGTGTGTGTGTGTGTGTGTGTGTCACGCTCAACACTTGTATGCTCGGACATGCCAGGAATAATGTGTGAAACGGAGCAGGAGACAGCCACTCTACCCTGCCTTGAGGGACGCCAACACGCTGACCAAATACTCTACTATGAAGACTCCACATACAGTATATTGTCCCTTCAGTCATACATGCTTATTAACTTGTAGATACAATGGCTTATTTATACTACATGTTGTCAGAGAGAGAGAGAGAGAGAGAGACAGAGAGAGGACAGAGACAGACAGACAGACAGACAGACAGACAGACAGACAGACAGACATCAAAATAAACTGCCCTCAACTGGCCAATCCCATCCGCTATTACCCCATCCACTTGCTTCAATAATTACTACCTAAAAAAAAAAACTCATTGAAATATTTTATGTAATTGCAATGTAAACTTATGGTTAGGTTAGGTTACAGGGCTTAGGTTAGGTTAGGTTTATTATTTGTTATGTGTTTGTGTCTCATAGTTCAATATGTTCATTTTATCACCTAATTCGTGCTAAGTGAACATGTTGAACCTAACCTAACCAAACCCAACCTAACACTAACCTAACACTAACTTACAAGGGTGACGGGAGAAAGATGGAAGACGAAGGCAGGAACTTTAAAATACATTATTCATGTTTTGTTTTTTTATTGTTTGTGGAGAACCAGAGAGAGAGAGAGAGAGAGAGAGAGAGAGAGAGAGAGAGAGAGAGAGAGAGAGACTACAAACTTTGCCAACTATGATCCATCACACGAGACCTACAACTTTCCCCAGCTTAAAGTCCTCGTCAAAATATATATATGTACACTTTTTTTGTACTTTTAATAAGAAAAAATATAAAGACAAAACACTATCCATTTTTATCTATATTTTATTTATATTGACACACACACACACACACACACACACACACACACACACACACACACAATAGGGGGACTGGGACTAGGGGGGACTAGCATGGGGAGGACGGGGTGCCAGATCGCCTGTAAAGACCTCCGTGTGTGTGTGTGTGTGTGTTTATGCCTCACACACACACACACTGTCAGCCCATCAGGATACTTATTGGATATCACTCAACATCCTGGTTATCCTGCACGCCCCTTGTAAGCCCACCAGACCATCCTCACCAAACGGCAGGTCCTGGGATATGTCTTTTGTCCCCAGATGGTCCTCATATCCTACCTACCACAATCTTCCCCAACTACCACAATTTTTCCTCAACTACCACAATCTTCCCCAACTAACCCCCACTTCCCCACCTACCACAAATGTTGGTTGGTTGTTGTTGTTGGTTGGGTTATTGGTTGTTGTTGGGTTTGGTTGTTGGGTTGGTTGGGTTGGGTTAGGGTGTTGCATCTTTAGGTTGAAATAAGCTGACGGGGTTAATCCTCAGGTGATCCGGTTAATTAACAGTCTGCTTACCTGGGCACACTGTAAACACAAACTGTGAAGATGTTACATAAACGTTCTGATCGACTTCGACAACTGACTTTATGTTCGACCTATCCGACCTCCGTACCAGATTAAACCTCCCTTATTCGACCTCATTATCAGAATAAACCTCCATATTCGACCTATCTTGCTATTTCACATCCTTCAACGTCTAGCCTCGACAGGAAGGATTCATCGACCCTTGTAGGATGAGAGAAGCGGCCGTGTTTACAATAGGATAGACACAGTGGGTAATATCCTGCCTGAGGGATCCCCGCCTAGGACCTGCCCCCCCTCTCCCCAAGGAACACCCAGGACCACTACCCAGCACTAGGACCCCCTCCCCTTCACTAGGAATTCCACCCTCACCTCCAGGACTCTCCACCACTCTCAGAACCAAAATCACCCACAGGAACCCATTAAACCACCCACAGGACCCCAAACCACCCACAGGACCCCAAACCACCCACAGGACCCCAAAATCACCCACAGGAACCCATTAAACCACCCACAGGAACCCAAAACCACCCACAGGAACCCAAACCACCCACAGGACCCCAAAACCACCACAGGACCCCAAAACCACCCACAGGAACCAAACCACCCACAGGAACCCAAAACCACACAGGAACCCAAACCACCCACAGGAACCCAAAACCACCCACAGGAACCCAAACCACCCACAGGAACCCAAACCACCCACAGGAACCCAAACCACCCACAGGAACCCAAACCACCCACAGGAACCCAAAACCACCCACAGGAACCCAAACCACCCACAGGAACCCAAAACCACCCACAGGAACCCAAAACCACCCACAGAACCCAAAACCACCCACAGGACCAAACCACCCACAGGACCCCAAAACCACCACAGGACCAAACCACGCACAGGAACCCAAAACCACCCACAGGACCAAACCACGCACAGGACCCCAAAACCACCCACAGGAACCCAAAACCACCCACAGGAACCCAAACCACCCACAGGAACCCAAACCACCACAGGACCCCAAACCACCCACAGGAACCCAAAACCACCCACAGGAACCCAAAACCACCCACAGGAACCCAAAACCACCCACAGGAACCCAAACCACCCACAGGACCCCAAACCACCCACAGGAACCCAAACCACCCACAGGACCCCAAAACCACCCACAGGAACCAAAACCACCCACAGGAACCCAAACCACCCACAGGAACCCAAACCACCCACAGGAACCCAAACCACCCACAGGAACCCAAAACCACCCACAGGAACCCAAAACCACCACAGGAACCCAAACCACCCACACAGGACCCCAAACCACCCACAGAACCCAAAACCACCCACAGGACCCCAAACCACCCACAGGAACCCAAAACCACCCACAGGAACCCAAAACCACCCACAGGACCCCAAACCACCCACAGACCCCAAAACCACCCACAGGACCCCAAACCACGCACAGGAACCCAAACCACCCACAGGAACCCAAACCACCCACAGGACCTCAAACCACCCACAGGACCCCAAAACCACCCACAGGACCCCAAAACCACACAGGAACCCAAAACCACCCACAGGAACCCAAACCACCCAGGACCAAACCACCCACAGGACCCCAAAACCACCCACAGGACCCCAAACCACCCACAGGACCCCAAACCACCCACAGGAACCCAAAACCATCCACAGGAACCCTAAAACCACCCACAGGACCCCAAAACCACCCACAGGACCCCAAAATCCACAGGACCCCAAAACCACGCACAGGAACCAAACCACGGAACCTAAACCACCCACAGGACCTCAAAACCACCCACAGGACCCCAAAACCACCACAGGACCCCAAAACCATCCACAGGAACCCAAACCACCCACAGGACCCCAAACCACCCACAGGACCCCAAAACCACCCACAGGACCCCAAAGCCATCCACAGGAACCCAAAACCACCCACAGGAACCCAAAACCATCCACAGGAACCCTAAAACCACCCCTCCTCCCCCTCCCTCAAAAACATCCTTCGTTTCTACAGGAGAGGAAGGACCGTTAGGACACGCCATCTCCTCCATCACTGCCCAGGAAAGATGATATCCTTTTCAGACTCGAACTTGAGTGTAAGTGCCTCCTCTAAGCGTCTCTGGTAAAGCCTTAGTGCCTCTCATAAGGATGTCTGGAGATGCCTTGGGGGGGGTCTTCATCATGGACATCCTAACCTAGCAAAGGATCTCAGGAGGGAGGTGTCCTATACAAAATGCTCAATCAGTGCTACCAACCGTATGTCCTTTGTTTGTTCAGTGTTACCAACGGTTGTGGAGTATAGTAGGCAGACAGAGAGACAGACAGACAGACAGACAGACAGACAGAGAGACAGACAGACAGACAGAGAGACAGACAGACAGACAGACAGACAGAGAGACAGACAGAAAGAAAAATAGATAGACATAGAGACACATTGGAGAGAGAGTTAATCCGATCAAAATCAAGGAGACAGTTTTACCCCAAGAAGTTTAACAAGACGTAGGCACTCACTTTACCCACAATACCGGAGGAGGAGGAGGAGGAAGAAGACAGGGAGGAGGAAGAGGAGGAGGAGGAGGTGGATGATGGGAGAAGAAGAAACAGGAAGGAAGGAAGGAAGGCAGGAAGGAGAAACACACTGAAGATAGAACAAGAGGCATCAAGACCTCTCTCTCTCTCTCTCTCTAATCTAGGTCAGGCTGGGGCCCATTAGCCCAACGGAGCCAATTATGGTGTTGTAGAGGTCACCTTTGGCTTAATTACCTAATATAATAATTTGGTGTATGGGTCATAGAGTCATTTCCTGCTAACCTCCACCTCCTCCTCCTCCTCCTCCTCTTTCTTCTTCTTCTCCTCTTCTCTTTCTTCCCTTACTTGCTTATCTCTCTCTCTCTCTCTCTCTCTGCCTTCGTTATGTATATTTGAGAGAGTATCGATACTGTTGACAAAGGATAAAGACAATGAGATTTTGACGAGATTATCTCTAAATATAAACTCATTATCTCTCTTCTCTCTCTCCATCACATTGAACTACCCTTGTTGAGCCCCCGGAAGCAGTTTTAAATCGCCCGTTTGATGCCGTGGTTTAGTTTAGTAATTAAATAAAGTTACTTTTACTGTCAATATCCGTCAGTTGGGTGGTGAGGTGATTTGTTATTGTGTTGTTGTGGTGGTGGTTGTTGTTGTTTGGTTGGTGGTGGTGGTGGTGGTTGTTGTTGTGGTGGTGGTGGTGGTGGTGGTGGTGGTGGTGGTGGTGGTTGTTGTTGGTGGTGGTGGTTGTTGTTGTGGTGGTGTTGTGGTGGTGGTGGTGGTGGTGGTGGTGTGGTTGGTGGTGTTGTTGTTGGTGGTGGTGGTGGTGGTGGTGGTGGTGGTGGTGGTGGTGGTGGTGGTGGTGATGGTGGTGTGGTGGTTGTTGTGGTGTTGATGATGGTGGTTGTTGTTGTTGATGTTGGTGATAGTGGTAGCGGACGATAGCACAATAACATGGGCGGATGATGATGATAATGGGCGGTGTTAGTATTAGGTAATGGGCGGTGGTGGGCGGCGGTGAGGGGGGATGGGGTGAGGGGGGTGAGGGGGTGAGGGGGTGAGGTGGGTTGGTTGGCAAAGCTGGATCGTGGTTTGAATATTGTATACTTTAAAGGACGAAATACCAGCAGCCACTCTCAACACATGGGAGAGAGAGAGAGAGAGAGAGTCTGTTTTTCTCAAGAACATTTTTCAATACTTTTTATCTTCTAATAAACTTTAAGACGCCTGGCTGACCGTTGCCTGGCAGGAGGTGGGGAGGAGATGGTGGGGAGGAGGTGGTGGGAGATGGTAGGAGGAGGTGGTGGGAGGAGGTTGGTGGTGGGGAGGAAGTGTTGGGGAGATGGTAGGGAGGAAGAGGGGAGGTATTGAGGAATGGGAAAGAAATGGGGAGGAGAATGTGAGAAGAAGCTGATGGGGAGGAGATGGGGAAGTGTTTAAAATGGTGGGGGAGGAAAGGTGGGGAGGAAAGGTAGGGAAGTCAAGTGAATTGGCGGAGAGAAGAGATTCGCAGAAATTACAAAAAAAAAATCCCCAAACATAATAACAAAAAAATGTTGCAAAAATCAGGTAAAATGTTGCAAAAAATTTAAGGTCTCGGCAAAAAAAAAAAAATACTTGCAAAAATTGACAAGCATTACAATGGAAAAAAAATGGCACAAGTTGAAAATAAAAGGAAAAATAAAAAGAAACTGTTGCAAAAGTTGACCAAAACATTGCAAGAGGATTCAATGGGGGACGAAGCCAAAAGACATACACTAAACATAAACTAAACGATGATAAAAATGTCTTTCCTCACGTTCAGAAATACTTGCAAGAAATTACAAAAAAATACCCCAAACTTTAATCTGGCTGGCGAGGAATTTTTATCAAGCCGTCACGAGAGTAAATAAAATGTGTAGCTCTAGCAAATAAACAAACTCGTGGGAGAGATGCCCCCCAAAAAAATAAATAAAAGTAAATTTGCTTGCATGTTTACGAGATATTTGCATAATCACACCTTAATGAAAAGAAATGGAAAGAAATTGGAAAATAAATCAATCCTGGATATTTACGTGTTGTGTGATGAGTCTGATACGAGGGGGTAATACTTGGACCTCACATGACTGATTGGCCACCATACACCACACACACACTATACTAACCCTTCAGTACACAAGGTTACTAAATGGCCGGCACTATACTTGACCACCACACACCACACACACACTATACTAACCCTTCAGTACACACGGTTACAAAATGGCCGGCACTATACTTCACCACCATACACCACACACACACTATACTAACCCTTCAGTACACAAGGTTACTAAATGGCCGGCACTATACTTGACCACCACACACCACACACACACTATACTAACCCTTCAGTACACACGGTTACAAAATGGCCGGCACTATACTTCACCACCTCCACACCCCAACTATAAAATCAGGTACCCATTTACACCTGGGTCGACTAGGAGTACCTGAGGATAGACCCAGCTACCTCCAGGACTAAGGGGTGAATATTGTATCCACTCTGCCACCGCACACCTAAAATACCAGACTCATTTCCCATCCTAAACGTTCCTGGTTCGATCCTAAGGGCACCTATAGTCCAGCCAATTGTCATAGATGCAAGTGGCTGTGGTCGAGAGGAAACAAATACTCAACTCCTAACCTAAGAGTCTCTAGTTCGATCCCCTCCCGTGGCACCTGTAGTCCACCCCTCTATAAACAGGGACCAGGATCTCAGCCACGAGGACAATATGACACTAAAGTTATGAGATATCTGAGAATGCCGCGGCCATCCTCCTCCTCCTCACAGCCGCTGAGTAACTGCCGGGGAATTTCATCTTCTCTGGCAAGTATGTGTATAAATTTGAGTGCCAGAGTGCCAGAGTGCCAGAGTTACAATAAGGTTCCCTCACCCAGCCAGAGATACAATATGACCTCTCCAGTCCAGTCCAGTCCAGCAGAGCCCAACCTAACCTAACCTAACCTAACCTAACCCAACCCAACCGAATGTAAGGTATATAGGTAGGTCTCTCTCTCTCTCTCTCTCTCTCTCTCTCTCTCTCTCTCTCTCTCATTCATTCTTACTGCTGTAATAGATGTGTTAAGTTAAGTTTGGGTGGGTGGGTGGGCGGTACTATGAGGTGGAGGTGGTGAGAGGGTAGTTGGTTGGGTGAGTGGGTCAGGTGGGTGGGTCAGGTGGGTGGGCGGTACTATGAAGTGGGTCTCTTAAGATTGGCGCGAGCGACCTACATTTTCGCAAGTGCTCGACGGTGGTGGTGATGACAGTGGTAGTGGTGGTAGTAGTAGTGGTGGTGGTGGTAACAGTGGTAGTAATGGTGTTTGTTGCCGTAGTAGTGGTGGTAATGGTGCTGCTGCAGTAGTAGTAGTAGTAGTAGTAGTAGTAGTAGTAGTAGTAGTAGTAGTAGTAGTAGTAGTAGTAGTAGTAGTAGTATATAACCTTCCAAACACAAACAAACTCGCCCCACTAACTCACAACCTAACCAAACCAAACCTAACCGAACCTAACCTAACCTAACCTAACCTAACCTAACCAAACCTAACCTAACCAAACCTGCCTTAAGTGATGTACAATTTATAGAATAACACTGTGTACACCTTATGCTGAATGACGCTTGTATACCTGTGTGTGTGTGTGTCTGTGTGTGTTACCTATGTGTACCTGTGTGTGTGTTACCTGTGTGTATACCTGTGTGTGTTACCTATGTGTACCTGTGTGTGTGTGTGTTACCTGTGTATACCTGTGTGTGTTACCTATGTGTACCTGTGTGTGTGTGTGTATGTTACCTGTGTGTACCTGTGTGTATGTTACCTGTGTATACCTGTGTGTGTACCTAAGCGGATGTATACAATTTGTGGCGTGAAAGTGTGTCAAGGGAGATTTATTTCGTGCTGAGTAAAGTTGCCTTTTAATGGTCTGTTGGACCTCGTGCAGAACCACTAGGTTAGGTTAGGTTAGGTTAGGTTAGGTTAGGTTAGGTTAGGTTAGGTTAGGTTAGGTTAGCGTGGACGAGAGGATAGCTAGGTGGGCAGTGGCTTATGGGGATGATGGAGGAAGAAGAGGAGATGGATGACTGCAAATGAGGAGAAAAGTGGATGATGGATGAAGAGGAAGAAACGGATGGTAGTAAATAAGGATCAAGAGGAAACGAATGAAGAAACAAGAGAAATAGTTAATAGTAAATGAAGAAAAAGATTAAAGAATGAATTAAATTTCTCTAACTTTCACCCACCTGGCAGAGAGAGAGGGCTTGACCTCAATAGTGGAAATAATAACACGATTAAAAAAAATAGAAGAGAATAACATAAGAGAAATAATAATCAAATAAATGGGTCAGGTATTTCCAGGTATTTCCAGGTACTTCCAGGTACTTCCAGGTATTCCATGTCATCACGTTTAGTAGAGTAGGTAATCATC